CGTTTTGTCACAATTTTACATATTCATTTACAGTCAGATTCAGCTAGAGAAAAACTTATAAACAGCACCTCTTCTCTTTGTATGACAGTCTATAAGGAGAATCGACATTGTAACTTTAATACCGTCCACTCTGGCCACAGAATTATTTTTCCTGCCCGAGATGTGTCTACCAGAGCCCTAGATAAATAAGTTTTGGGTAGGAGTCATGAGTCAATAAAGGACTTGAATTGAAGTCCTAGTTGGAATGGAAAAAAATCTACCTTAAAAATGTTAGTTTTTAATCTCTGCTTGTTATTTTTTAATCTCTTGACAAAACAGTAGAGAGCTACGTCAGTAACTCTATCGTCCTATGCCTGATAAATAAAATAGAATGTAAGTAAATTGTGACAGAAAAGATTCACCACGCAAACTATGGTAAAAAAATTTCGCCGGGAAATTCGTATAGACAATCTTAAGTTGCGTGGGATAACCTTAGAGTTGCATAGGACTTGCGTTATGTTTTGTAGTCTCAACTATAAATAACGTTCAACGGAATTATCATAATGCAGTGTTAGGATTTTAAGACCTGCTTAATCATAGTGCGGTCGGATGTCGCCCATATCACTAAGATAAAACTCTACAGAAGCTGTGGAGGTTTTATTTACGAACAAACATAACCAGGATGTGAGATGATCTCTCTGCTAAGATCTGCAGTATCGCGTATTTCAAAAGTGTAGTGGACAATTGACTCCTCCAAAAATAAAACCCACAAAACATTCGCCAATGCATTATGATGCAAATGTCCATGAAGTGAAAAATTTTGTATTTACTTAGTAGATTGTTAGGCTAAGTTATGTAACTATGAAAACTTTAAAAAAATACGTAACAGTTTAATAATTCGAAATTTCTTCTCCAACTTAAGAAAAAACATGAAAACGTAAATATATAACACTTTATATCCTATGTGAGGCCTGATATAGTACGAATGTTAGGAAACAAAGCATATCGTCAAACATTCGGTTTTTATAGCTATCCTAAGGACACTATTACTACATATTATCGGGTTAGAATTGCAACCTTCGGACAAATGCGTTTTTCGGGAGGCCTCCACTTGACCTTCGGCCCTTTTGTTTCCTCATAAACTAACTCTAATTTATGATCCCTTGTGACCTCTTTTGTTAAATTTATGTAATATAGATAAAAAAAAATGTAAACAAAAACTATTGTTGTATAAACAAAAATAAGATATAAAAACTTTTTAACATAACCTAAGTAATCTGTGCTTGATTTATATACTACTAATATTATAATTGCGAAAGTTTGTGAGTGTGTGTGTATGTTTGTGACTTCTTCGAGCTCAAACGGCTAAATCGTTTTTGATAAAATTTTGTATACAGGACGCTGACTTCCAATAATAACACATAGGCTACTTTACATCCCGGAAATCCGCGGGTAATACCGCGGGGGCAGCTAGTAATTAATATTTATTACGATTCGATTCTCTTAATGTAAAGTATATAATAATATGATTAATTATATAAAATATATTTTTAATAATACGATAATAGATAATATAAGTAATAAAGAGTATCAATTAAAATTGTTAATTTTCTATTGTACATGAGGTCACTGCGTCCGCGACACGGTCTCTCAGCGTCACTAATGCCTCGGTCGTGTAACGCAGCGAGGGGCTGATAGCTTTCGGTGCTCAATATATGATATTAAAACAATATTGATGTTATCGATAAAGATACGAGATGGTTTTGCTTTATACATTATAAATTTTATTATTTAAAAGTCATTAAATACCATACTACGATTGAAATGACAGATCTATCAAAAAAATTGAAAAGTTAATACTGTAGCAGATTATATGATCCATACATTATTTTATAAGAGAATCTGATTTGTACTGAAATAATATTTTTTATTGATACAATATATACGATTTAAAAAAATAAGTAAATAAGTTATTTCTAATCTATCACTAATATTTAGAAAGTTTATCAAATATATAACATATTATTATTAGAACGTGAATTTGATATTGTTGAGTTACGAAACTGTTCATGAAATAGGGACATTAGACATCCGAGGGTACGCAGATAAGGAAATCTACATTCACCGTACATTTCATTTTCCACTTCGTAAAAATTATTCAAAATATCTTAATAATTATTAATTAATTATATGTATAATATCTTTGGTCGTCGTTGTGGTGGTCTAAAGGCCCGCCTCTCATGCACGAGGGCGCGGGTTCGAATCCTGGCAAGTACCAATGTACTTTTTCAAATCATATGTACTTTCTAAGAGTATTTAGACACCACTGACAGACGGTGAAGGAAAACACCGTGAGGAAACCTGGACTTATAATATCAAATTATAAGTTTGAAATCACCAACCCGTCTTGAGCAGGCGTGGTGATTAATGTTCAAATCTTCTCCATGTGAGAAGAAGCCTTTGCTCAGCAGTGGGCTTTGATAGGTTGATGATGGTATTTAGTAAGAAATATAATTTAAGTAATATGTTTATTAAAACGCAGCGATCTCTATTTCATTATTATTATTCAGTCATTCTCTTTTATTGTTATTATTATTAAATCATTCTCTTTCAAGAAATTATATTTTAAATGTTTTTAAAGAGGGACAAATTTAAGTAACACTTGGTGAACATATTTTTTCCCACCGAATGAGATTTATTATTTCGGAGAAAGATACTCTAAAGTACCTACTGGAACTACGAGCCATAATAAAGGTACAATTCAACTGATGTTATGTTATGTTGTTGTGACTGCATAAACCACTAAATGTTTTAAAATGTAAAAAGGACAACTGCAGAAATATGTTGGTAAACAGTCAGTACTCTCTGTTCGTTAGTGGTGTTAAGACACACTTCAAAAACTCTATTTAAATAAAGAAAGTTTTCAATGACAATATCTTCAATCATTATAAACAATACACCGTCACATATCCATAATCCCAAAAATGTCTTTAGATTGTAAAGCTCATTAGCCATTTATATTTAATATTACTAAAAACTTATTCTTAGCAGTTCAAATTCAACACAATTGCTAAAAAAGTTTGTCATTCTGACACCAGATGAGCCCTTAACATCTTCTATATATATAAAAATGGAACGCTGTTCCTTAGTCTCGCTAAAAATCGAGAACGGCGAAACCGATTTGGCTAATTTTAGTCTTGAAATACTCCTGTAAGTCCAGGGAAGGTTTAAAAGGTGAGAAAAATTGGAATAATTGCCGGGAAAACCCCAAAAACAGCCCTTTTCTATTTCTCATACAAACGTTTTTTTTGACATTAGATTTGACAACTAACTAATATGTGAATCATTCTGTTTGATTGAAACAGGAAAAACCTGATTATTTATGGCCTCTAAGACGGAATAGAGTTCGCCTGGTCAGCTATACCTACATATATTACTCATGACCAAACTAACGCGGACGAAGTCGCGGGCAAAAACTAGTCATTGATAAATGTTTACAGGTCAAGGACACATCTTTCAAGAAAGAAAGTAAATATACGCGTTAACAACATCAATGAAAATTCGTCCCTTTCTCTACGAGTGTAGAAAAATAAAAAAGAAAACAAATTTAAAAAGACTACGTATTGAATTGTGAGAGGTGCATATTCATATTATACAAAATGTTGGTCAATTCTTAGTTAAGTAATCTTATGTACCACTACAAAACATAGATTTTCTATTTTTAATTTGATTGGTACGTGAAAAAACTCTATAGACTCTATAAAAGCCTCTTGGGGATTTAAAGACATTGGACAAAACAATTGCTATTATAAAATCTTAAAAAGCATTGTATCATTACACTATATAAAAAGAAAATTTTCATGATACGAGAAAAAAAAACAGAAAAAATAAGTTGAAGATATTATTAAAAAACTCTAAAAAGAGAATTGGATAAGACAAAATAGTAATTAAAAACTAAAATTAATAAATCACAAAGATAACAAATTTAAATTTGAAAAATTGATTACAACGACGGTTTAAAATGTGATAAGTGGAGTCGAGATAAGTCAAAATATTTAATAGCGGAAACTTGTGTGTCCTAAAAAAAATAAAAATTCCGGTTAGAAGAAAATTTAAAAATATAGGGATATAAATAAAAACTTTGTTGAAATAGTCTATTTTACACTCTTTGTTTGTATTATTAAACATATATATATTTCTTTTCATTTATTTTCCTAATATTTAATTGCATTTTCACAATAAAGGTTATAGTTTTAAATAAAACTGTGATTCTTTAATTTATAAATATAAACGTACTTCTTTTTTTTTAAATAAACGTTTTTATGTAATCATGCCAAAACTTTAACACAATACTACATTGGTTTAAGAGTCTACATTTGTAAGGCTTTTATTTCACTTTTTTATACATGCATGTACATATTATTATGAAAATCCTCAAAAATTGATCCAAATGATATAGACCAGTGCCGATAGCTTTTAAAACATAATTAAATAATATAGTAGAATGAAACCCATTAGAAAAGGAGGGGAATATTATAAAAATTAAAGGAATAATAATTTACGGGCGATCTGAGGTCGGGATGGGTACGGGGATGGGTATTTAAGAGTAAAAAATGGGTTTTCTCGATTTCCGGCAAAACTAAAAGTTCTACAGAAAAAAAATATGATCAGATCGCCCGTAAATTATTTTCCTTGAATTTTTATAATATTCCCCTCCTTTTCTAATGAGTTTCATTCTACTATAACTTATTTTCACTTTTCATTGTTGTTAAAGGTATCTGCACTGGCCTAATAGCTGGTAACATTTTAACTGACGCCTCAAAATGGCGGATTATATATTTGTTATCTGTGTCAACAGTAAAGTGCGGTCTGGTGATTGAAATATAATTCTATTTATTCCGTGTTCGTTATTGTGAATATTTTATAGTAGATACAATGTACGTTAATCCTTTTATTTATTGCAAAAGTATTCGTAACAAACCGTTTTTTTTTATATAAAAGTATAATGTTTTTGTATACAGGGCACGAAACAAATCTCCTTCGGTTACATCGGAAAAAGAAAAGAAGAAACCAAAGGATAAAAAGAAAAAAGGTGATTCGGGATCCAGCAGTAGTGATAGTAGTGGAAGGTGCATATATTTTAAAAGTTTCAGTTTTAAATTTGAGTACTAAAATAGGTTATGCGGCTTCTAGTACACGGTCTATATATATTTCAGTTCTTCGGAAAGTAGTTCGTCCAGGTCTTCATCGCGTTCATCTTCAAGTAGTTCTGGTAGCTCGTCACGATCCTCTTCAAGTTCCAGCTCGTCGAGTAGTAGCAGCAGTAACAATGATCGATCTAGAGCTAAGAAGAAGTAAGTACTTGCTATATATAATAATAAATAAAATAATTATACACCTAAATGTGTGCCTTAGAATTACCAATAAAGTAAATGAAAACACCACAAAATAGTCACATAGTTAAAGAGACTACAATTTAATCTTTAACAGCAATAACTTATGAAATACATGTATATGTACATCATTATTTATACATATATTATTTATATCATTTCTAGGATTTCACCACACAAAAGTCCAGTTAAAGATAGAAGGGAGGGAGCCGATAGGGATAAGGCAAGAGATAGATCACCGCTGAGTGATAAAAAGAAATTAGCTCCACCATCTGCTAACGATAAAGTCAAAAATAAAGAGAAACATGAAAGGTACTGCTATATTTTTATGTAAATCTAGGTTCTAATTTATATGTGATTCCTAATTCATAGAATAAATTTATTGTGCCTTAATAATGCATGTTTGTTGCATTACCATTATTGAAATACAGCAATGAATAATAAATAGTATTTATTTCAAATATACACCTGAACATTACTGTAATGTTACAAAATATAATTATAGTAATTACAATACAATAGTTCTTAGTCTCACTAATTATTCTATTAATACAATTTATCTTTCTAAATAAATTCTTTTAGGTCACCAGGTCGTAAAAAGCGTGAACGCTCACCACCCCCTCGTCCCACTAGAATACATATAGGACGTCTAACATTAAATGTTACTAGAGATCATATTCACGAAATCTTCTCAACTTATGGCACCGTAAAAGCTGTGGAGTTTCCCATGGATAGACTACATCCACATAATGGACGAGGGTATGCTTATGTGGAATTCAGCAATCCCGATGAAGCAGAAAATGCTATGAAGCATATGGATGGAGGTAAACATTGTTTCTGAGTTAAATAATTTAGTTAGTTAATCTATGTTGTTGTTAAATAAGTTAAATATGACAAATAAAATGTTATCTAGTTCATTAAATGAATAATTAGGTCTTGTCTGAGTATCTTTAATACAACATATAACTGGAATAATGACTACTTGCCAAACAATATCAAATCAATTGAAACCATTATATGTCTATTTAATGAATGTAGATGTATTTCTTTAATGGAGATACATGATAGGAAATGTCAATTGAATGGCTAAGATTGAAGTTATTCATGGAAATACATTAGATTTATTTGTATTATCTATATATATAAGGCTGTAGGGATATGGTTGAAAATTGGCAGGGAGATAGAATAAAACCAGGAGACAGATATATGATATTTAATTCTATATAAAGATAATATTATATTTGATCCAATATAATAAATCATCTGTTAAGTTTCTCACCAATTCTGTCTTAGTATATAATGATGGTATAATCTAGTTGTAAATCTAATATATAAAATTCTCGTGTCACAGTTTTCGTGCCCATACTCCTCCGAAACAACCTGACCGATTTTGATGAAATTTTTTGTGCTTATTCGGTAGCTATGAGAATCGGCCAACATCTATTTTTCATCCCCCTAAATGTTAGGGGTAGTCCACCCCTAAATTTTTTTTTTTTATTTTTTAGACAAAATTTTTAATTACTATTTTTTTATGATACAACGTACAAAAATACATACAATCCTAAATTTTCACCCTTCTACGATCAACCCTTATTTTTTAATAGTTATTTTAGTAATTTAATCATTTTTCATCTCCGGTCGATAACTGATCAATCGTCATTTAATAAGTTATCCCCGCCAGATATCTACAGGTGTCACTTCTGACCCAGTAAACAGCACGGAGTAGGGATGAGAACGAAGCCGGTCTTCTGTTTCTCTCACACAATTAGACTTCTCTCACTCCCTACACAGTTGTCGGCCATCGTTATTGTTTGTGCATCAAGTGTAGTAGTAACGTTGACAATTATTATTTTGCTAGCTCAGTGTAACTCTCATATTAACTATTAATCATTCCTAATCACTTCAAAACACGGAGATTTATGGCTTTAATAGGTAAACTCCAAAAATATAAATAAAAAAACGTAACAGATATTTCTTGATTATAGGGCGAAACGAAGTTCGCCGGGTCTTCTAGTAATGTTATAATATTATTGTAGGTCAGATCGACGGTCAAGAGATCACAGCGGCGCCCGTGTTGGTGCCATCCCGTCCGAGGAGACCCTCGCCTCGACCGCCGCCGCGACACGCTCCGCCGAGACGACACTCACCACCACGGTTAATATACTTATCTTGTTTATATGATGCACACGGGGCTTTATAGTACTTGATTAAGAGACGCCAAAATAACAAGTTAATAAAAAAGAATTGAATTACATTAAATGGGAATAATGTAACAGTGCAATTTCAAAGACTCATTTAAAATAAAGCTATTTTATGTTTATGCATGACATCTCATCTAACTATATGTGACTCTATAAATATAATTGTATACATCAAGGATATTCATAATTTAACTGTTAATCAAAGACTTACTTCGTTTATACATGTATGTATTATATATTAAATATTTAGTTCATAATAACAAGAAATGTTAAACCGATATAGTGTCATATATGTTAAAAACCATCTGGTGTGTATTTACCTAGTGCAGTGATTCCCAAACTTATTTCTACTATCCATTGAATGAATACATAATTTTTTTAACGCCCCCTTTTTTCACTTACTGGTAAACCGCTATAACTTGTGCTCACTTTGGGAAAGGCTGACCTAGTCTATAGAAAGCCGCCTGCCACCTCTATACACCTCTCCGACTTAAACTATGTTATATAATTATAATGATTAATAATGATGTATGTATGTACATTATGTCCAGGTACCGTCGTCGTAGTCCTCCGCGGCGCCGCTCCCCTCCCCGCCGTCGCCGGTCTCGATCACGTTCCCCGCGCGTCGCCCCCCGCAGACGACGCTCAAGGTCCTCCTCATCTTCCTCCCGGTAGACATACACACACATATATGCCCTTATTACGATACACACTGCCACAAAGAACACTGATATACAGTCTCGACTTGACAATACAAAGGAATATACCATAGAACTGAAACACCAAACCAACAGATTCATACATTACACCTGACATTCCAGATATATAGGTGAGTATACAGTCAGTACACAGATTAGTTTTATAGTTAATAGAGGGCCGGAAGAGGTAAGTATGATTTTGTAAATATGGTAATTAATTACAATAGGTACATTGACTTGATGATTTAATTATTTGTTTCTTGTTATTAAAAGCTTGCAAAATGGAAACTGACCAGAGTGAGTGATCAGTGCAAAATAAACTAGACATATTATGACAGTGCAGTGATTTATGTATCTTAGTAATTTGTTTTGTAACAATAAATGGATTTTGTTCATAAATTCCAAAACGAATTATTTTTTTTTATTTGATTCCCAGATCTAATGTTCCTGTTACAAATGTCAAGTGACAAATTTTATATTTTTCTAATAAAAAAAACTAACTATGTTTGAATATGATTGTATTAAAAGTTAATGGAAACAATATTTTGTTTTATTTTTAATACATTATCTAATATAATTAGACTAACAAGTAACTTATGAATATTTATTTGGTTACTTTCAACTACTAATAATCTTATGGTATGTTAAGTAGTCTGTCACAAGTGTCTTTCCTTTATACAAAACATTAGAATCTAGCAAAGATAAGTCCTGGAGTGTTCTGAAACAAATACAGTTTTCATAAATATAATATGTCCATATATTTTCATAAAAATTAAGCTATAATATGAAGACTTCAACAACTTACGGATAAATAACTTTCATGGTTTTTGGTCCTCTAACAGGATTCCAAGCAGGAACAGGGGATTTGTTAGCCAACATAAGACCAGATACAGCTGTATATAAACCATACTCCTGACAAATTTGTTCCTTAAAAATAAAATAAAACATTGTTTAAAAGTGCTTTATTAAAGCAGATATTTGGCAAGAAATTCTAAAAGCAGACATTATAAATGGGGGTTTTAAAGATATGCATTATTATAAAATTATGATCTTCAAACTTATTAATGGTGCTAATAATTTCATCTGGTAAAAAAAATTAATAAAATATTGAAAAGTTATAGTCGTGAACTTAACATTGAAACTTAAAAACATTGTTCTATTCTTTTGGTAAATTGTTATGCAAAGAATCATGCATAGTAAACTACTTTCATTGCCTCTAAAGACTCAATCAAGAAATAAGAGTATTTCAGTAATACAATAATATTTAAGTATATTTCCCAAAGAAGGTTGATGTCAAGCAGGAGGCCGGTCGTAAAAACAAGTAGCCAAAACTATTCACAACATGAAAGGCAGACCCTGGCTAAAGCTGGGAAATTGTCAGGTAGAAGAAGAAGATTTAAGTATATTTACCCTCCATTCAGCCAACATACAGTCAGCATCACTTAGTGCTGTGGCAGCCTCGTCAACATCATAAGCACAAGAGTAATGAGGCAGATAATTCTCATGGAGAAAGTTGATGAATGAAGATGGATGACTTAGAAATTGCTCAATAATGTCCTTTGGATTATGTGTTAATGTCTTGTGTCCATGTTCAGTCACAGTTTCTAGTAAAAATCGAGATGTTTAAAACATCGGATTAAATATTCTATCAAATAATCCCTACTTGTAAATGCGAAAGTAACTCTGTCTGTCTGTTACGCTTTCACGCCTAAACCACTGACTGATTTTAATAAAATTTGGTACAGAGATAGAATTGATTTTGAGAAAGAACATAGGATAGTTTTCATCCCAGACTTTTGAAAGGTTCTCTTGGAAACGCGATATAACCGAACTCCACGCGGGCGAAGTTGCGGGCGGAAAGCTATTTTAAATTAAAAAAATAAATAAAATTTTTCATACACACCCTTAGGATTTAAGACTCTGCCTACTCCATGTAATATACTAACTGTTTGATCTTTCCCTAATGTCATAAACTTGTTGGAGACATTCTTTTTCCTTCTGGTTGATGTTTTAGATTTACTTTCCTTTTCTTTTATTATGCTAGTCTCCAAGTTACAGGTAGAACCTTGTGGACAAAAATAATTCTATAAATATTTCACTTGTGTTTAATTTACTTTGTATTATTTTCAAGTAATTTCATTAAGTTTACCTTTCAAGCAGGCAAAGTGCAGATTTAATATTGCTGATCTGACATCTCCACCTGATGAATTTACAACTGAATCTATAATTTCGGTGGTTGGATTATTATATGTTGAACTGAATTTATTATTCATGATAGTAGAAGCTCTTTTAAGAGCTCCTTTTAATCCTGTTAAGGTCACTGCATTAAACCTAAAAAAATTAAATTAGGTCAATGAATTGTTCTTCAATAGCATTCAGCAATAATATTAGTTTATTTTATTATATCAGAAAATACAGCTGCGTGCAAAAGTATTAGGCACCCCTATTGTTAGTGACTATCTCATTAGATAGCGGTCAAGCGTGTGTTTTATGGTTTAGCTATTGTATTAGCGGCAATTTTTAACCAAATTAAGATAAAAGAAAATATTTATGACATCCAGGTGTGCTCCTAAGCGGTGTTTCTTCGAATTTGCTTTTTTTGCGTTTCGGGTTATAGTGTGTTATCAGTGCTTGCAGTGAACATACACGTCTTCTACGCAACTATTTGTATCACGATTCTAAAGACTAACATTTAACGTGTTAATCATGCCGAAAAAATCTGAGCTTAGTGCTGAACAGCGTCTAAGAATTAAGATTTTACATGAACAAGGCATGTCTCAGGTTAAAATAGCCCGAGAAGTGAAGTGCTCGCGATGTGCAGTTCAATATGCTATAAATCGCTTCAAAGAGACTGGCACCCATGAAAATAGACCAAGAACAGGCAGAAGAAAAATTACTACTGAACGGGAAGATCGATTGTTGATTAGGCAGTCTCTACAAAACAGGAAAAAAACTGCTTTAGAGCTCGCTGCAGCATTATCTGAGGCAAAAGGTAGCTCAGTGAGTGCTTATACTGTGAGAAGAAGACTTCTTAAAGCTGGATTAAAAGGATGTAAAGCAAGGAAGAAGCCGTGGCTGTCAGAACACAATAAGAAAAATCGGTTGGAGTGGGCACTCAAACATAGAGATTGGTCAGTGGAAGATTGGTCCAACATATTGTGGTCAGACGAATCTAACTTTGAGGTATTGTTATTTATTTTTTGTACAATATTAAAACACATAAATGTTTTTAAAATAACGTACTGCAAGAAAAATAATAAGTTTGAAAATAAATGTTTTTTTTTCGTTTGGCATAGGTGTTTGGAACACCCGGTGTGACTTATGTTAGGCGAAGGGTTGGCGAAGAATACAACCCAGAATGTGTGGTTCCCACTGTTAAGCATGGTGGAGGCTCAATAATGATCTGGGGCTGCATGGCTGCCGACGGAGTGGGCGAAATGGTGTTGTGTGAGGGACGAATGAATAGTGCTAAATACACTGAAGTTCTGGAAACAGCACTAGCAACGTCGATAACGCAAATTTTCGGTGATACAAACACCGATGGCCTGAAATTTCAGCAAGACAACGCCACTTGCCACAAGTCCGCGCATACCATGAAGTGGTTTGCTGAAAATCATATTGATCTTTTGGACTGGCCACCACAATCACCAGACCTCAACCCGATTGAGCATATTTGGTCCATTTTAAAGAAAAATATCCGCAGGCACTCGATTAGCAATAAACAAGCTCTATTGGCCGCGTTACAGCAGGAATGGAAAAATATATCAAGAGAAGAATGTTTCAGGCTGGTAGAGTCAATGCCAAAAAGAGTGGCTGCGGTTATTAAATCAAAAGGTGGACCTACAAAATATTAATTATTTTCTTAAAATAAACCAATGTAATCATAAATGCAGTTTTATTTACACTCGCTATGCTAAAACACCCTAAAACTTGTCTTACTGTAGGGTGCCTAATACTTTTGCCCGTGGCTGTATTTATATTATAAAGCATCATCAAGATATTGTATATATACATATATATATATGTATAAATGTCAAAGTCATGCAATATTTAAAAGGGATAAGCATAAAATTTAAATGATATATGGAGCTCTATAACTTTAACAGAAAGTAATATGGAAAAATAAAACCAAGTACATAAACTTTCTAAAGATTTTAAGTACAGTGGTTGAAAAACTAACATATGTTATTCATAAATGTACAATCAATATTATTCATAAATGTACACTTTTAAATTAACAGCTATTAGAATTAATGTAGATAAAAATGTACAACCTTGCCATCTTTATCACTAGAGCGATTTCTTCCAGAGAACATACGAGGAAGTGAAATAGTGGATGTATACTTACATAATATGATGAATTTGAAACTGATCCTTTAAACTTGAAGAAAACAGATTTAAAGATGTGTTTTTGGTATCAGTGTGTGATTCTGAACATATAAACACAATTGGAGATTTGGCTCTTTGTTTATACTGACTAAAAGAAATAGCAGGAATTAGTGACAATTCTAAGTATGGAAAGCTTGTTGAAATACATCAACATACGTCAATACTTCTGTAAACTCAGCTGGAGTTCTCAAAAAGATATTCGGAAAATCCTCAACAAGCACCAACTTGCAACTGTTATTATCTAACAATGATGTGAAATTTGCAGAATTGATAATAAATTCTAGGAACTTTTTTGTTTGTGGCTCTTTGAATTCATAATCTCCTGCAATATCAAGTATACAGTATATTAGTAGTTAGACTTATTAACTATAGACTATTATGTTTATGCATTCACATATAAAAATAATCAATGAAAGTACCATATTCAGAGGGATATTCAATATCTAAGGGTGTGATCCATTCTGTGACCTTTATGTTATATTTCGAAGCCAGTGTCTGAATAGTTGCAGTTTTTCCACAACCCACCGGGCCAGACAAAAGCAGTATATCATTGGTTAATTTCAAACAACTATTCTTCATCCATTCTTCAAGTTCCAATACTTTTTTATTGTTAACAGCTAGATCCTCTACATTCACAGGATCAAAATTTTTCATCCAATTACTGTCTCGAACATTGTTTAAAATATTTGTATTACTTGCAAATTGTAGATTTTTCTAAAAGTATTGCTTTGATTAATATAGTTGTGCAGGAAAACTACAAAGAAAAACTGAACGCTCACCTCATCATCTTGACTTTTTACTTTCGGCGAATCTAGTGCAATTTTTTTTGCCGGTAAATTATCATCTAAATCGAATACGGGTTTGAACCACTTTTTCCCCTGAAAAATAAAAACAAATAAATAGTTTATAAATTTATTATCTATCTTACTACCTTACATTTCGTATTACCTTACTAGGTCTAAGCATATTATTTTTTTTTCAGTTCAGTTTTCTACAAGTTTATTTTCGCATAAGGCTTAACAGCTGTTATATATTGTTGTTTTCAAATCTCGTTTAAGACGTTGGCAAATGACAGTTTATGTCACGTTTGGATTATTCCTACAAAATTCTGTAAATTATTGAACAGAAATATCGTATTGAAAGGTTAAATTTTTCAAGTTTATTTCAAAATTCCAAATTAAATCTAATTAATCAATTATACATTCTTCAAATATGAAATTATGAAAAACCCATTCTTTTACTATCACTATTTTATAAAAAGTTTTAAAATCGATAAAGAGAAGTCAAAGTAACTTGCAACATACATGCTACAAAAATTCTTTTTTATTTTTAATTCTCTCATGTGCCATATTTATTGGTCTATATTTAATCAAAGATATGAAGCATTTCACAAGAAAATAATTTATAATAGCAAAATATTATCAACGACCTTAATATTCAAAATATGAAATATTAAGTCAAATATTTAAATTTATTATAATAACATAATAGTAAGATTACTCTAGGCTCTTGATAGATACCAAGAGCCTTCGATTTAAGGGGTGTCATACAATTAAGAAATTATTCCTGAATTTATGAAAAGCTATAAAGATATTTGAGCTACATTGTACGTTAATAAAATTCGCGAATCAGGAAGATCTTTTAATGATTATTTTACGTTTAGAATAGCATAAACATACTTAATATGGGTATATCTTTTTTAAGTACTAACGAATTATATAATGTAGTTTAATACTCAGACTGTTATAGCTTATTTTTTAATGTGGGATTATCGAGAATTTTAATTTAGATTAGACCCATTCCTTGTCACTAAGTTTTGCACTTTTCAATTTGACGTACTATATGATCTGACATTGACATTTTAAGTAAATGCACCTTGTTACGTAAAATTCAATATTTTCTATATATTTAAGGTAAATGTTGTAAAATTGGTGCTACACCTAATTGAATTACTTTGTGTTTTGCAATGCTAAATTAAGTTTTTCACAGCCATATTACCTAGTTCGTATTCTGGAACGAAGAAATCTTGGGTCACATCCAATTTTTTTAACAACTGCGTACTTTTCAGTAAAAAATGCAAGCAATCAAGGCTCTGGGGGCTGCAGCCCCAGCTACAGTTATGTCTGTAGTAAAAAAAGGTGCATTTACGCCTGTAATGGAACAAATACGTCGTACTCATTTGCCGGCACCGAACCCGAAGGAAAATAGACCATATTCTCCTTTCCAAGATACCAGTAATATGGGAGAATATGCCGTGGCAAGATTAGATGACTTGTTGAATTGGGGAAGAAAAGGTTCTATGTGGCCCATGACATTTGGATTAGCTTGCTGCGCTGTTGAGATGATGCACATTGCAGCACCCCGTTATGATATGGACAGGTTAGTTATGGAGAATAGTCTCTGTCACAACTGTGGATTTCGTAGTAAAGAAGCTTTAGTTTTATATTTAAATCCCAATATTAGATAATTTATCTTCATATAATTATATATTTTCAAAGAAAATGTTTATGCTGCTTAAGTTGAGCACTATAATGCCGGATGATTGACCTATAACTATTCCTTGCAGCTAAGTTACAAATTGTTCACAATGATAAATGTATTGATTACAATACAAATTTGATAAATGACATGATTTGATATTTTTCAGATATGGTGTTGTGTTCAGAGCATCCCCTCGTCAGTCTGATGTCATGATAGTTGCTGGTACTTTAACCAACAAGATGGCTCCGGCTTTGAGGAAGGTTTATGATCAAATGCCAGAGCCCAGATGGGTTATATCTATGGGAAGTTGTGCAAATGGTGGAGGATATTATCACTACTCTTATTCCGTTGTAAGGTAAGATTTGTAAACAATTTTTTTGTAAATGTTTTGGTAAGAAATTTTGAATTTGTTATCAGTTAAAATAATCTTTTTAAAATTAAAATATTTGTCACTACATGTGTATCTTTACTTTCCTTGTTTTATTATATAAACAAGCTCATTTTCATTTTTTAATCTTATATTTTCTTTTTTATTGTTTTAGAAGTTTTTTATACCTTCAATTATCCTTTATATTAAGTCCAGTAATTATATATTATATTTATATGTGAACTATTTTGAGAAATGCTTGTCACCCATTTCTAGTATTTATTAATTATTTTGTAAATTAAAATTTGATTGCATTGTATTAAATCTCCATATTCAATTTCGTTATATCTAATGAATATTCTGTTTTCAGAGGTTGTGATCGTATTGTGCCAGTCGATATTTATGTTCCTGGCTGTCCACCAACTGCAGAAGCTTTGTTGTATGGTGTTCTACAATTACAAAAGAAAGTGAAGAGGATGAAAACTGTTCAAGTATGGTACAGAAAGTAAAGATCTTGTACACATAGCAAAATCCTACACAATATATAATTTTGGGGCCTCCTAGTGCCTCGTAATATATTTTTAGAAACCCCATAATATTTGTGCCCAGCAAATAAGTCATTAGTCAAGTCAGGTCTTAAATCTTCTTTGAGTATTTCTTTTTAGGAAAAAGTTATATCAGTTAAATATGAAAATTTTGCAAAAAATCTATAAAATTTATTACGAGGTGCTAAAATATAGGTTTGAGGTCCCATGCACGGAACAAACGTCAAATCATTTTTGTTGTTATCCTGTTTCCAAAAAAAATCAACATGCCCATAAAACGAATTGTTTTGTATATAATATTATTGTTTAAGCAAAATATTGTGAAGACTCAACAAATGCAGTTGTCATAGAATCATGTAAATGAAAATAGAAATAGATAAAAGCAGTGGTATATTGTTTCACTTTACCTTTTTAGTTAGACTTCCATTTATTTTAATGAAAAATATCTTTTAAACCCAAGGAACAACAATTTTCTGGATGTTATCAAAAATAGATTTCCTCTCCAGTAAAACATTTTTTTTTTGGTGAGAAACGTGAGAATTTGTTAAGCTTTTTTAAGTCTTAAAAGTAATTATGACATTCTTTGAAGAAACCGGTTATAATTAATAGTTTTGCATTAAATTTATAATAGATATGTAATAAAATATGACTCAATAAAAATAACAACATTACCAGGGGAATGTAGTAACTGTCAGATCCTGGCTAAAGCTGGGAAATTGCCAGGAAGAAGAAGAATGTAGTAACTGTCCTTTGTATATTTGTAATTTCTGAGTATATAATATGTATTCAGTTCAGGACAGCTGAAGGTCAAGCTAAACAAAATAGTAGATTTTTTTTTGTTGAGTTTGATGTTTTGTATAGTCACTTATGTTGGTGTATCAATGACCTAGTTCTTTGAATATACATTTTATAGTCACAACCGATTTTGTCATCAATAAAATGGATAAATTTGGATGACTGAGCTTTTTGTCAATTCTTTAATGTATTGTTGTTATTACAAAAAAAGTCATACTTTTATGTAATTAAATTTGTTTTTAAAGTAAAGGTTGCAAAACGTGCAACGAGCAACTTTTGAATACTCCTATTATGCAAGTACATAAACAGTAGAAAAAGAAAAGCAAGTTGGTATAAAAATCAAAAGTTTTAATGGTATTTTCTGAATCGCACCAAGCTTTCATTTACTTTTAGTATACAGAATGATTTTGTATAAACAATGCATTTCTTTTACCCTTCATGAAATCATGAGAACACAATCATAAAAAGTGCCTTAAAACAGTTTTCAATAATAATAATCATAATTTTAATTTTGTCTGACTCACGCACATTAATATAAGTATTTAATGGCACATGTCGAGTTCATTAATATAAATCATAAAAATATTTCACGGAAGCATCGGTAGCTTGATTACTATTAACAAACTAATTTCAAAATAAGTTTAGGAAGTAGATAACACGATAATATGATTTTTATTATTACTGTCTTATATTATCTAGCTGCAAATAGACACTACTTTCAAGTCAGACAAAATGTATTTCACAATATAATAATATCACATATTTTAAATGCATTAAGAAGAAATGTCAACTGCTATGTGTAAAAGGATTATTTAGTAATCAATGTCTATGAACGGAAGAAATTATATAAATAAATAAATAATCCTCCACTGGTACAATTGAAAAACCATTATGAGATTTTTAACGGAAGTGTAAATTATAACTCCCGATAGAATAATAATTTATGGGATTTTTTTTTTTCTTTGTATGACGTTAAATAAACCAATTCTATATTTTAACACTAATTTACAAACTAATATTTACATTTTATTTATAAGGTATATATAAATATGTATAATTATATCGATAGCGATTCCAATAATCCTATCCTTCACATAATCAGCAATTTAATGTATAATTAACTAATAATGGTCACAATAACAACTCGATAGATATTTTCCATGTAAATAAACAAGCGGTAGTGTACAGGCTGGCTCGCTCTCACGTCCTCGAGTCCTCTCCGTTTATATTGCACATGACACTCGCGGCTCGCCCCGCCGCCTCCTCCACACACCACACGAGGAAGCAGGACGACGCCGGCGACACCGGCGACCGTAGGTTTGCAAGCGATGTAATAAATAATTTTCTAAAACGATAATGCCGACGACCACACGCGGGAGAATCAGACGTACTCTCCCGGGGAGGCATCGGAAGTTTCCGCTATGTACATTGAGGAGCGAGGCGGTCGCTATCATCGCGGCTCCTCTTTCTTGAGCAGGTCGAGGGGCGCGAGAGGCGCCAGGGAGGGAGCGAGCGGCGCCAGCGGGGCCAGCGGCGCGTGCGCTCCCAATGGCGGCAGCGGCGCGCCCGGCAGCGAGCGGTGGAGCAGCGGCCCGGACTTGAGCTGCTGGTGGTGCGCGTAGGCGCTCAACATCTTGGCGCGGTCCTCCTCCGCACGAATCGCCGCCTCCACGAACGGCGCGAACCTCATGTGTTGGAGGGGGTCGAACGCTACGCGGTACGGGTCCCAGTGAGAGGGCGGCGGGTAGGCGGGCAGAGCGGGCGGGGGTCGCGGGGGTTCCTTCCGCTCGTCCTTGGTCTGCTCCGGGACGCCGTTCCTGAGCGGTGAGCGTGTCCGGGCCCGCTCCATGTCTCTCTCCCGCTGCTCGCGGGCCTTCCGCCTCTCCCTGTCCTCGCGGTCCCTTCTCTCTCGTTCCTCTCGCTCGCGGCGAGCTCGTTCCCGTTCCTCGTGTTCGCGGCGCACCTCAGCGGCGGCGGACACGGGCGGTCGTACGCCGCGCCAGGAGTCGTGCAGTGACATGGGCGGTCCGTGGTGCATGCCGTGTAAGGACGACGACAGTGCCAGCTCCCGACCGTACGCCGAGAGACCGAAAGGTGTGGGCGCGCCCGCGTACGGACCGGCGCCGTACCGACCGAAGGGCGACACGCCCGAGACGCCCAAGTGTCGGTCGACGGGCCCGGCCAGAGACACGGGTGTGAGCGAGGGCCGCGCGGGGTACCGCACCATACCTAGCGGCGTGTGGTGCGGCAGGTACGGGCCCGGCGGTAGTTCGTACGGCGAGCGGTAGGTGGGCGGCGGCGGCGCGGGCGCGGGGAACGTTCTTATCTTGTCCTTGTCGGACGAGTTGGCTGCCACGTTGTTTCCGCTCGTTTTTTCTTTTTGCTGATGGTTGTAGATCTCCCAAGCTATTCTGACGTGCATCGCGTTCCATTTTCCAGTTTTCTGTTCAACAAATTCGTAATATTCAAAATATTATATTCAGTGAAGCCTTTATATTATAATGCCATGCATGAATAAAAAATATAAGCATGCATGTAATGCTGTGCGAAAAGGAACCTACCGCCATAGCGGGACGTGGTGGTGGTTTAGTTGCGGACTCGTTTGCGGCGGACACTACGGGCTGTTAACATGATGCGATGCAATGTTAATGATGACAGAGCAACATAAGAGGGAAGCATTAAGCTACATAAAACATAATGACAGCAATAATATAAAAGAAAAAAGAACAGTTTACTATATAGAACCATAAAATCCCAATGAAAATTATTTTAATAGGTAATCTAAGTTAAAAAATAATAAAAATATAAGACTAAAAGAGGTTCTCTATCTATTATATAGAATATATATATATATATATATATATATATATATATATATATATATATATATTATTTTTATTGTGAACTACTTTTATTATATACATATATATTAAGAATACCTTAACCTCGAGTATATTATATTTCACAATGTATACCTTCGGTGCGTAAGTCGTCAGCGGAGCAGGTGGCACGTAGGGAGAGGTCGGATGCAACAGACTCGATGAATACGGATACCCGAGGCCGAGACCAGAACGATATAGTGACGTCATCTTCACATCCTTAAACTGCTACAACAAGCAATATATACATTTAATATAATATTCACTTTTAGACGTACTTTTAGTCACTTCTTTAGTAATGGAATGGATTTCAATGAAATAAATTTGTATCTTTCATGGTTACTTTTATCTGTGATACCCAAACTAGGAATTCATTAGGGTCACGTCAAAATTATTTAAAACAATTATCCTATAAATGGATATGTTTATATACATATATAATTCTTCTGTGAGTGTGTATGTCACTGAACATCTCTCAAACGACTGGACCGATTCTGATGAAATTTTTTGTGTCTGTTCAAGGAGATCTGGGAATGGTTTAGATTTACAATTTTGTCCGCTGGACAATGTTTTATTATTTAATTTTTAATTTATTAGTAGTTGTTGATACAAACGTTTTTTTTGACATTTGATTTCACAACTAACTAATATGTCAATCATTCTGTCGCACTTCAAAACACGGAGATTTATGTCTTTAACGGGTAAACTCCAAAAATATAATTAAAAAAACGTAGAGATATTTTTTGATTATAGGGCGATACGAAGTTCGCCTGGTCTTCTAGTTTAATATAATATTCATTTTATAGGTGAGGAGTTAGTCACTTCTTTAGTAATGGAACGGATTTCAATGAAATAAATTTGTATCTTTTATTACTACTTTTACTGTTACTTTTATCTGTGATACCCAAACTAGGAATTCATTAGCTTCATTAGTGTCACGTCAAAATTATTTAATATAATTATCCTATAAATGGATATGGCGTTATCATCATCAGCCAAAAGACGTCCACTGCAGGACATAGGCCTCCCCAAGGATCAAAAAGATATGGATATGGCTTTATAAAAATAGATAAAATAAAATGTAAACTGTAGGACATGCTGTGCGTGTAGTGTATGTGTTTGTCTCACCAGTGGCGCGTGCGGTACTAGCAGCTGGTGCGCGTTGTGCGGTGCGTGCGGCGGGTGCGGTGCGGGCGGTGCGTGCGGCGCGTGGTGACCGTGGCCGTGTGTTGAAGGCGGATGTTGGTGCACGTGCGTGTGCTGGTGCTGGTGGTGGTGCAGCTCGGTGCGTACACCCACACCGACAGCACCCGCCGCCGCCAGGAACCGATTGTCTAGTTCGCGTCTCAGTAGATCCGCACCAGGACCTGGAATTTATATATATCTTATTAGAAGAGTCTCGTTTCATAACTATTTACCTAATTAGGAGAGCTATTTTATACTATTAAAGAGATTAAAAATTTGCTTTTACAAGTTTTTCCAGAAGCCTAGGCGTCGAAAAGTTCTTGAAAGTGTACTTTAAATCTTAAGTCTATTCTGTTCAAGTTGCGCAACTTTGGTATTATATCAAAGTTTTATTTTTTTTAAACTATCCAAGCGTACTTTAGTTTAAATTTCCTTTAAGTATTTTTTCTCAACATAATTTAAAGATGACATGAATATTCACCGTAATTTTTTATAAAAATTACATACTAGTTTATTATAATAATTATATGGAGTCGAATTACTTACTAGATTGAAATAGTGACTCTGCAGAGAAAGGATTCGGGTTTGGTGGGGCGAGGGGTGCTCCGAATAACGGTGGCGCCGGCGCGAAACCAGCTCGCTCTGAACCCGATGGCCTGCTGAATGAACACACAAATTATAAGCATATTGAAACAAATACGCCAGGTTTGAGGTCAAAAAATGTTGGTTATTAACGATGTCGTATACTCACGTTACCCCCCAATGGGCTGGTGGTTTTGCACTGGAACTGATACTGGGTACAGTTGGTACGGGAGCAAGCGAGTGGGCTAAATGTGGTGCGGAGGGTGTGGGCGCCGTGGGCGTTGGAGCAGCCAGACCTGTTAGACCTCCCAGTGTACTTAGACCCGTGCTCAATGGACCCAGTGTACTACCCAACGCTGAGACTGGTCCCTGTTTATAAAGATAGTGTTAAAATTAATTTACTCCAGACATAATAATATTATCTTAACTGTATTAAAGTAATACATCGATAAACACAGATAAAACTTGCAGGGAGACATTGTTATACTATAATTAGCTCCAGATTATATAATAAAATTAACAAACTTATAAATATATATCATCTTAATAGAAATAAATGAAAAAAGTATTAAAAGAATGGTTGCTAGCAAAGTTGTATGATGAAACTGAAAAGCTGCTTGAAGTCTTAGGTTCCTAGTAAGCACACACACACGCACACATACACTCACACACAAACATCCCAAATATCATCATCATCATCATTCAGCCTATTGCAGTCCACTGCTGGACATAGGCCTCTCCCAACACGCGCCATAACACTCGGTCCTCTGCCTCTCAAATATACTCATGTTCAATTTTACACATACTACTAATTCTATTTTACTATACTGGTTATATAAAGCAACAGGAGAGTACTGTCGCCTGAAATACAGGTTTATACCTAGCTCAGGGTCAGTAGACTTCTTTTATATATAATACCTTTATGCATTCTGATCTTATGCATTGTGATTGAAAGTTTCTTTCTTTTTTATTGCTTTTTTTAAATAAATAAATAAATGTATTTTATGTTGTAAATAATAAATGTCATTTAAGAAATCTGTACTAAAAGTTTAATTATTATTATAAACTGATATCTATCAATCAAAAAAAAAAATAAAATGTGAAGGTAACGGATTTAGTACAGATAAAAATATGTTTAACCTAAGATGTAATATTTATAAGTTACTTCTATATATTACCGTAAAGTACATACTGGCGAATATAATAATATTATTTTTTTTTGTTAACTGAATTAAAACCAGCAAAGAAAAGGTCCCTTTAAGAGGAATTTCCATGACATGAAACCACAATATATTTTTTAACTCCTTTGTACCTATGTTACAAGTAACAAGACAAGTCGTTAGGAATTAATAAATAGGAGATACGAATACAACTAACAGCCAATGGTGCCGCCAATGGTGCAGCAAGTGGTGCAGCGAGTGGTGCCGTTAGTGCTGATGAGACAGCCGGCGGAGCGCCCGCGCCGCCCGACGCTGGTGTACTTCGAGACAAACTGCTGATGTTGCTGCTGGAACATATCGCAAACACATTAGTGACCAGACTCTATGCTTAAGTTTACTTGAAGAATTTTTTTTAAGTATTACTATTACTTCGTTTTATTTCGGTTCACTTTATTGAAAAAAAAAAGGTTTAAAGAATTCATTCTCAAAAAGACATATAGTCACTTACATGAGAATATAGATACAAAAGTGAAAATACAAAAGTAGTCGCCAGATTATTTGGAACTCAATTAAAGATAGTAAGATATTATTACAAGTGTGTTACATCATTGGTATATCAATAATTTTCTAAAATATGTTGTGAAAGTTGAGATTTAAATTCGTTAATTGAGCTTGCATTTCTTATAGTAGACGGTAATTTGTTCAGATGTAATATCCTTTTTTGCAAATTTTGTCCTAGTCTTTGGGAGAACTAGTAAGCTAGGTCGACGGGTGCTACGTGTACTGACTTGTTTCATAAATGACAATTTAGAGTGTACAGATTTATGAATAATTTTTATTAAAATGCAGGAATTGTATATATAAAGTTGTTTTAAATTCATAATCTTCGTTTCTTAAAAATTTTAACTGTAGATGTAGATAACGGATATTTAAAGTATTTTTATTATTTTATTTTGTTTTCTTTGAAGTTCTTGTAATTTTGTTTTATTAGCATTACCCCATATTTCAATTAAATATAACAAATGGGATTTAACTAAAGAGTTTTAAATATTATAGTGTAGTTTTTGTGATATGCACCTAGAAATATTCTTTAGTGACCCAATTAAAGAGGACAGCTTTCCTTTAATATGGTCAATTTGATTGTGAAAATTAACGTGGTTATATATTCTTAAGCCAAGATATTTTTCGCAGGTGTTTTGCTCGATTACAATGTTGTCAATAGCTAACGAATCATGTTGCATATTGGGAAATGTAATCATTATTCGTAAGAGATCTGTTTTGTGTTAACGTGATTTATTATCTAGTTATGATAGAAGTAAAGGAGACAGGAGTGAAAATTAAAAAGGGAAAAGGGGTATTTTACCTGAAACTTTCACGTTCTCTGCTGGGGCTATGCCCTCGTGGCGAGTACGCTAGTGGTGCGTGTGACCCTGCGCCGCCCAGGGAGCCCGGCGTGTGAGGTCTTACTCCCTTTGGCGTTTTGGGAGCTACGAGCGGAGACGCTGATAAACTCGTCCTCTGAAATCATTATCGGATATGTTAAATATTTTATCGTACAATTTTTTTTTAAACCGTCATATTATGACATAAAAAACCATGCTTACCGTGTCAGCAGTATTCCTAGGTGAAGCGGCCGCCGGTGGTAAGTATGGACTATGTTGTAAGGTAGGGGCGTAAGGAGCGTATAACGTCGGGTAGGAGCTGCCAGTGTACACAGCCGGGGGAGGATATCCGTTTGCCGCCAGAGCTGTACTAACTGTTGAGTTCTCAGTACGAGTTGGCAATTCACTCGACACCGGTAAATGTCTAGAATCTACAATCGGGGGTATCGGATGATTGCTAACTTGACTACTGCTAGAGGTTATGATGCTCGGTGCGCTCGAGGTAGGCGAAGGATCTATGTGATTTATAGGCTGATGTAACGATACAGCCGGCGCCAAGGACGTCGGGTGAGGGTGAACCGGCAAGTTTAGACCTGGATGTTTTATACTCGGAGTAAAACTAGATAGTGAACTAGTGGTCGTCGTAGTCGAATGTAGCGCCGTACTCATGTGGTTTGATGTAGAAGTAGATAACAGGTTTGAACTACTTAAAGCTAAACTATTTTGATGGCCAATCAGGTTATGGCTGTTTACGGGATGACTGAAATGTACTGTAGTTGGTGTTTGCGTGGATGTTATGTGATTCGCCGATATGTGATTCGCTACACTGAACGCCGTATGGTGATGCGGTCTACTCGCATATGGCGGTTGAATGGAATGTTTCTGTAAACTCGACTGACCCTGATAGGGCATCGAATGGCTGTGAATACTGGAACTTATACTCGAGTTTACATGACTAGACCCGATCGTCGGGGTTGGATAGTGACGCGACGTCGGCGCCGAGGGAGACATGGATCGGCCCGAGAGCGTCTGACTCGGAAGACTGCTTGGAGTAGATGCTGGCGGCGGTTGCAACGATAGACTCTGAGGCACACCGTTTGACACAATACGATTTGGATAAGAGGTAGGAACGGAAGGATGAGGTTGAGTCACAGCGGGGACATTCCGAACATCGTGGCCGGGCATCACAGGGTGAGATTGTGAGTGGGGCAGACGGTTGGGTAGACTAGGGTGTAAGGGAGGCGTCGAAGTGGGGGCCAGGTGAGGCGGCCGGGGGGCGGTGTGGTGTGCGTGGAGGTCGAGAGGTATCGGCGGCTCCTGGGCAGCGGGCTCCGGTCGCGTCTCATGATTCGTGTGACGGTAGTCGGGGAGAGCGGCGGCGGCGAGGGACTGGTAGGCGGTGTGTGAGGGGAAGAGGGGCGAGGGGGCAGGGGGAGCGGGCGGCGCTGGAGTGGGGCTGTCCGCGGCGGCACGGGCGCCTGGTTGTAGCTTATTGTTGCTGGCCGGTCTCTCCGGCGTGTCGACTGGCCGTGCTGGTATTTGTGTTGCAGCTTGTCCATCGATGGCTGGTATGTGGGCTCCGTTGGGTCGGTGAGGTGTGTCAGCTCGGAAGGGTGGTGGTGGTAAGGCGGGAGGTGGTAAGGCGGCAGGCGCGGGTGAAGGCGCTGGCTGCGGTAAGGGTGCGGGCGCGGGGCTGGCGCTGCCACCCACGGGTGCCCTCGACAGAGCCAGTGCGCCACCACTTCCGCCCCGTGCTACCAGCTCGTTCTTGGCGCCACCTCCGCCACTACCCGTCACCCGGAATAGAGAGCCGGCGTCCGATGCCTAAAGAATATTTCACACATTAATAATATATACAACATAATTTATACAAGAAATATTTTTAAGCGAATTTATAGTAGAAATCATATTCAAAATTGCAATTAAAACTTTTAATTAATCTTACATCATCCATAGATGCATCATGATATCTAGGGGAGGCATTTCTGCTATTTTCTGGACTCGCCTGTAACAAGAAAATTTATAACTTAAGAGTGTTTTACTAGAAGTTAACTTACATACAACCGCTATAAAAATGTCTACATAAAACCAGACAATACGTTTTATTTAAGGACTAACAGCTTGTTTATTCATTGAACTGGATAAGAGTTCAAAGCAAATGCATATATTTATTTAAATAATAGTCAAAGCACTGTTTAGAAAGTGCATCTTCTAGTGTCGTTCATTCTGTAGTCAGTTAAAGAGCTCACGCCAACACCTGGTGTAATGCAGGCATTAGTATTCACAGTTATATTCATGTATGCCCATTGTTCTTAACTAATACACAATATCCGCTTGTTTGACTGCGCTTACCAGATATATGATACCAAGACATGAGTGGAATAAGTGAACTCATTCTAGGTCCTTGTTCGTACAGATAGATATCTCAATATTTATGCGATGATTAATAGTGAATAGAATTAATACGCTGTATCATAACGTGGGATCAAAAATAAACAAAAACATATCGTTAATGTAAAAAGTTATAATCCAAGTAAATTAAACAGTCTCGAAACAATGAAAACCCTTATCGGAGATCGTTAAATTTAATGGTTTAGTTTATAAGCAAAACATTTCTAGGGATATATCATTTACAAACAGCGGTGAGATGAATTACAATCTCTAAGAGGGAATGAAAAGTAATTACTCGAAGGCATTTACGACGGGTCGAGAAAATGGCTCAATAAAGTTATTTACGTATACGAATCATGGTATACGGACGCCATATAAATTATATAGTATTTTAAAAACACAATACGCTTTTTAATGCCAATTGGTCATTAAACGAAACAGTCTCTCGGGACATTAATTAAATTAAGTGATATAATTTTTATTTGATCGTGTTCGTTTAATTTTTATATCTCTTAATTAATGGTAAGACTGGCGACGGTAGCTTCTCAATGACACGATGTTTAATGAACCCGAGTTCATTATTCTTCAGTATGAATGTACATTGTGCAGCATAAAGAAATCCGAGGCGTTTCAATGTAACAAATTGTAGGTTCTTTCTTACACACGAGTAGCGGAAAGAGATAGTGAATCGATTGCGTGAGAGGAACAAATCGTTTTTGGAGCGTACCGGCAATTGAATGTTTAGTCTTATCCGGCAGGGGTGGGTCGATGGTCGACGGTTTGCAACAATGGAGTGATAAATCATGTATGGAGCGCGCGTGCCGCCGTCCGGTGTCGGCTCCGCGGGCGCTTCAAAGGGAACCGCGGGCGGCGAGACTCAACTGCAGCCCCGCTTTTTGTCATAGACACCCGGCTATTACTTAAACGATCACGCGTACTGCCGTCATTCATACCTTTGATATGTTAATGATCAACAACCATATGATACATTTGTTACTTCTCATTGTTTGTTTGAAGCGCCGTTTGAAAAAATAAACTAATCTCATTTATGCATTCTATCATTCTGATTTCTCAATGTTTAAAAGAACGTTTTAGACATGAACATTATAAAACCTGTACTATAATAATGCATATTTACGAGACTATATATTTTTTATTACCTCTGGATCAATAAAATAATGTCCTATAATAATATAAAGTAAAATAAAATATTTCAATACGTGAGAAAATTTATCAAGACATCACAATTTATAATTAATTAATAAAATATTTATATTTAGCGCAAGTCAAAGGTTAATAGCGCCATTTATATTAAGATTTAGCTGTTAAAGTTTAATGACTGTATAAAATTCGTTAAATAAACATACAGCAAGAATATTTCCACCAACATATGTATAATATACAAATAAAAACTGAATATTTGATATAAATATATTTTTTTGCATTTTAATTATCATACAATATGCATATGTATTTATGGGAATATAATTTTAATTTTATTCTCTTCGTATAAATCACAAACACATATTTATTCATATGTTCTTCAAAGATAAATAAAAAAATAATCATGTATATTTCATGAATAGTCTTATTAATAATACAGCACGTATATTAAGTTCTTTGTAACAAATGAATGACTACAATAATGATAAATCACCGCACCGCATACATAACACTTTCGTTTTCATGAAACATAATAATTTGAGCGAAGAAATAAATACGTACAGTTGGCTTCTTGTCAAAGCTACATACCATTATTTGAATGTTATTAAAATAGATAATCACACAGATATTAGCGATGAGTGATGTCGTGTCGACAAGCAATAATAGTTCCTCTGCTACCGACTCCGAGGGAAACACGCGAGTTTAAATAGACCAGCAATAAATATAAACGACCTCATTAGTCAACGCTGTCAAAATAGAAAAAAAATATGCTTGTAAAATTAACTTCGCATGACTACAGGTACGACAAAAAAAACAAAACAACGACGCGGGCGATTTCTTTCAGTAATGAATATTCTACGGAACGCGGTTTAATTTAATATAAATGTTTTTAATATTTAACAAATTGTACGCTGTTATTGTTGACTCAATTTATTTTATCAGATGGGAGTATTTTAATAACGAACTCAAAACAGATATTAAAGATTAATCTGAAAACTTCAGCCGCAGGCTAGCAGTGTCCGCCCCCTCGAACCCCGCTACCTACCATTGTTGAGGAATGGGAGGTTGGGGGGGGGGGGAGGTTGAAAAAACGACGTGATAGCTTTTCGCCCCTCATTCGAAATTCTAATACTTTTGCAAACTTTTAATAGGATAGGACTTAAAATTCAACGAGAATTTAGATTCGCAGGAAAGTTCAAACGGCGGCTTGTGATCATAGCCTTCGGCAACTTTCTAATATGCTACGGGTTCTCTGCTATGCATTTTATCGCTTTAACAGGCATTTAATAAACCAGGACCAATCATTTTTGCTATTTGAAATTTTATAATAACAATTAATTATCCCAGCTATTAAAGGTTGACTGACGGTTCAATTGAAATTTATTTACTATTACAACTATGTTGGTATTTTTGTAAACAGGAAAAATAAATGATCTACTAAGATAAAAAAATATTCCATATTTAAATAACGCAAAAAAACAAGAATAAATTCGTCTGTTAGATTACAAAAAAAACATAATTCTGATCTGGTTTTCTAAGAAAAAAAATATACATACTATTTTAAAGCAACTATTATTTCGCGATTTCCAGGTAAGAGGTTTTAAATTACGAGAAGGTAATAAATTTTGTTTAAATCTCGTGGAACCTACAGAGTACATTTTTACGTGATATGAATTTTAAATATAATAAATAATTCAATATAATATATTATATTCTTCGCATGGCTAGTGATAACTTTGACGAGGTAGGAGATTTGAGTTATTTAAATTAAACACAAATTAATTTAAAAGCTCACATATAAATTATTTTTTATAACATATAAAAGATATATTTTAATTTAACCTGAACCGAAAATACCATGAAATGGTATTTACAAAGCGTATCTATAAGTAATATAAGTATTTTTAATTAAAACTCACATATAAATTAAACATTCTTTTATTCGATGAATATTCGAGAAACATTCATGTCTACAAGCTTAATTGAATAAAAGTAATATATCTTTTCAATTACTATTGAATAAATAATTTAAATTTATTTATATCCGTGTCAAAAGACAAATCAGAGCGTTAATTTATCTTGTGTACAAGTAACTGTCATATTGACATCAAACATTGACGCAGACGAGAATTAGTCTGATAACGGAATAGAAAAAAATATATATATCAAGATATATTTATTAAACACGATGTTGACTTTAATAACTTTATGATTTCAATACGTAAAACCAGTTTAAATAACGATAATCACGTTCCGAATAACAAAACATTTATTACGTTCTATAATTTTATATATCAAAATTTATTACGTTATCTGGCAGAGCTCCATCTAGATGAGATCTATATTCGTGATTATTTATTCATTCAATTAAGACAGACGATAGTTTAAATAACGTATATCCGCGTCAAACAATAAATTAATTGTACACGGACCGGACACAAATTGATATAATCTTTGGTGTATTATAAATAATTTATCGGTGCGTGTTAGCGATAAATTTAAATTTAATGGCTGGGCAATAGAAAGTATAATTAGGTAGTTACCAGTGCTGTAACATTTGACCGCATTCGAGCGTAATGGCGGTACATGCTAAAATTGGATGGCGCGTTTGTTTTGGATCTTATTACTGAGAGAAGAAACTTTACTATAAGGATTTTATTGTTAATTGTTATGAATTAATGTAAGCAGGAAATAATTCGTCATTCACGTACAAGTGTTGATTGTACACATGATGTGATATTTATTAAGTACATTATCGCTTACGTCTATACAAGACTAATAGAGTTGAGGAAGTTTAAAAAAAAAACTCCTGGTTTGTCATTAAGTTATGTTACTTTTATTAATACAACCCTATTAAAAAATAAAGTTATTAAAGAGTTTATCTAAAAATGACAATTTATTACTAAAATGTGTGTGCCATATCATTCCTAATGTTCAAATAAAAACTTTATAACCGTCTCTATATTATATCGTGTGACATCACTGACACCACTTTAAAATAGAATATGAAATGTGTGTGTAAATACTAAATGCATCAAACGCCCCGATAAAAAAAAATATGGGGACTGGCAACAGATTTATAAGATAGAATAAATTGGAAGCTGTCCAATTTACATCTATGTGGAATAAGTTTGTTTGGAAATCACATTCATTTTAAAAACGCTGTGCCAACGAATCTATTGGTGTAATAAATTTACAATTCATTTTATATATATATGTGACGTGTTAATTTGTACTAGGCCGCTGTATATTTTTTTTAGAGTCGTAGTTTTTTTATTTCTTGATATGTGACCTATACCTCTTTCTCAGTAGCATTCTTGGCGGGTGAAGGTTTCGGATTATCTTTTTCCGTTTTAGCGGCTCCAGGAACTTTTTGGTTTTTATATGTTATCAATGGTTTGTTATAGCTCTTCTGTTTATTGCTTTTTTTCTTGCCTTCCTTCTTACTAC